GGGTGACTGGATCAAACAATGGATTCATGCTTTGTCTTGCATAGGTGTGGACCCACTCGTCCACTCCCCTGGCAAGTCTCTTATGCCGGCACCAGCAGACGATGGAACGGCTTTGCAACGGTCGCTGGAGAGTGACGAGGCCAGCACGTAGCTTAGACTGCTTTTGGGTGAGTCTTCAAGCAGGTTACAAAGCAACAGATTGATTTCGTCTCACAGCTTCAAAGCAACAATATTGTCAATGGCTGCTAAGAGGGGCCTCAAGCTGACACAACTTGCCTGTCCAGAACCTCTTTTGAGCACTTTGAGGATAGACCTGGTCCCTGTGCAGAGAAAAACGCTCGTATTCCTACACCAATGTAACTGAGCCAGCTACCATGATCATTGACCGCATCAAATGCAGGTGATTTCAACACCTGCAAGTTGACCGCTCGAGCTGCGCAACGCTTGCAAGCCTGCATCCATGCGGTCGAGTTCGCCCTTCGCGAACTCGATCGCATTGGTTTCAGTTTTGAGAGTGGTATACAGCGCCAAAGTGCACTGCAACTCCCCTATATGGGCACTATCTCCCATATCACGAAGATGCAATGCAAGAGCACTAGTATGGTAGTGCTGCTCACAATGTCGGTGAATATGATGATGGGAAAAGCAGTACTGAGCGGACTCTGAGTGTACCTGAGTGCTGTTACCGCGCCGTCTTTTTCACCTTAGGTCACGCTTCACTCTCCTGTTTCACTGCGGTAGCTTCTCACCACTTTGATGTGACCCGGCGTTGACGGTGTTTGCATCAAAGTGTCAGAGTGTTGAATGTCATGCCGTAAGGCTGCTCGGTGTGATCTCGGGGATCCTGGCTGGGGGGATCCCTGGTTTCCGCATTGAGCCTTTGTTGCTTCGCACACCCTTCTTGATGGCCATTTTTTGTGGTGTTGTTCTGTTTTGGTTCGTGTTTGCTTTTCAGATGGCCTGCGCGAAGGATGGCACACAAGCTGCTATCGGAATTCATCTCAAGAGCACATAGCTGTCCTCTGCCTTTTTTGTGCTGTTTTTCGTTTGGTTGTTTGGTTTTTTGTGTTTTGCTTTTTGTGGTTTTTGTTTTGTTTGCTTTCTTGTTGTTTTGCGCTCGTTCTCGGCAATTGGATAGCTTTATGGACTAGGTACAGGTCCGCACCAGCTCTCTTTTGTAGCCTTCTTTTTACCGATGGCTCTGCATGCATTTCAATTCAATTTCCGGCAAGTAAAAGCTTGTGTAACGACCTGGCGAAAGCCTCGGAGGCGTTGGACGGAAAAAAAGCTAAGAGGGGCCTCAAGCACGAGGACCGTTTGGCGATGGGGCATCATGCACATCCATTTAAAATGGCTGACACATATGCAAGGGATGCCCAGGCAAGGGTCATACGCTTAGTGGACAAGTTGCTTTTGGAAATCCAGTCTGGGTATTTCAATCCAGATTGCAGCAGGGCTGGAAGGTTCAACAAGCAGTGCATGCCTGATCCCAGTTCAGATGTTGGTGCACAGTCTTTTAATGACAGTGATGGTGAAAACTTTTTCATGGAAGAAACGATTGACAAGAAGTTGTCGGATGCTGTGGAAGTGGTTGAGACGCAAACTGCAGAGATTGATGAGGATCATTATACGAGTTCCTCTTCTGACAGTGAAGCTGAAAGCGTTGTGCTTGAGGCGCCAGTCAGGGTCTTCTTGCCCCCACGAGCACCGGAAGGGTACCATTTCATGCAGCACAGGAGGACAAAAACCTTGCACTTGGTGGATGCCAAATTTCCTAGTGGAACTTGCTGTGGTCGATTGTTGGACCAGAACTTTGTCGTGCCCTCACAACTGAGATACGACTCAGCAACATGCCATGTATGCAAAAAGCATAGAATGGACTGAACAGAAGTCGCGTTGCCGAAACGGTGCGACGGAAAATGGCAAGCTTCCACCGATTAGCGGCAATGTGAATGACAAAGTTTGGCACCAGGCTCAGGTTTGAAGAAGCACTCCTTTTTCTATTGTTTCTTGGTCGAAAAGGAGTGCGCATGTATCATGTGGCCAACACTGTGGTTGGCTTTGAAGTTGGCCGTATCTAATGGTATGTTTTTCTTTTCCAGATTCTGTTTGCAAACATTTCCAGATTTGCTGTCAGCTGTGCGCAATGTTGTCGACATTCAATTTCAATTGACACGTCATTTTCGTTGAAATTCCCCTGGCAGAGTGAGTCTTGAACTTAACTTCCAAGGTGGTGATTATTTTTGTTTGGGTCAAGTGTGGTTCAACCAACTTTGACTGAAAGCATAGAGGCTGTTTGCGGTTCATCCGAAACGGGTCACTAAAGCTTTGACGTGGAAAATTTTGTTTTGCCTGATGTCAAAAGTGGTTCATCCAGAGTTGACACAAGAGGCTTAACCATGTACATATCTTGATGCCAATGTTATTTTTCTGACCCATCAAGGGTGGTTTCTTTCCACCTTGATTGAGGGCCAACCCACTGCGTGTTGTTGAGTGCAGCATTCAGTTGAGACCGTGGTTTCATTTCCAGGTTCAACAAAGTGAGCGTTTGAGCTCACTGTGAAGAGCTTGACTAAACATGGAGTGACTTAACATGTTTCAGTCTCAGTAATTTGCATTGCCAAACACGTTGAGCCTACGTGCAAATTTGCCAATGCTGAACCAAGATTTTTATTTCAGATTTCAACATGTGAAAGTCGATGTACCATTTGCAGAGAGTTTCAAAACAAAACATGCAAAGAGTTCCAAAGGATCATCATCGCAGATATTGGTTTCCTGCGCCATGACATTGATAGATTCTGAAGCAGCGTTTAGGCAGAGATGCAATGAGCTGTCAACAGCTACACTGAATTTGAACGATTTGCTGCGAGCGCAGAACGTTGCAAGCTTCTCTGAACTGGCGTTTGCTTGTGGGGCACCTAACAAGGCGCCAACAGATGATGAATTCAGGGCCTTCACCACCTCCATTTTGGGTGCAGGATTCACAGCAGGACAGCAGAGTATCCTGCGGCGTATTCATTTTGAAGCTGCCACGTTCGTCCTGTCCCAACTGAAATCTTCTGTGACGGGTGATGCAGCTGATGGAGCTAAGAAATTACCCTTTGCTGAAAAACAAGCAAGGTATGAAAAAGTCAGACAGAAGATCCCTGGTTTCTTGGTGCAAGGCGAAACAGAACCTTCACATGCGTTGCTGGACAAGTGCCAACTCATGTACGACACAGGGGCAGTGGTATGGATATCACCTTCCTTGTGTACCAAGCGAGAATCTGAGGTCCAGGCTGCCCCAAAAGATTCGCAACAAGTGCTACGGATCGAAGCCCAGACCTTGAAAGTGAACACAGAGGGGCCAAAGGTTGCTGACGCAGACCATGGCTCTGAGATCAAACTGCAATGGTGCCTTCAAAGGCGTGGAGTGGCATTTGAGATGTGCGAGCTGGTTTCTTGGGAAACTTCCCAAAAGTGGTTGGCTACATTGTTTGCGGCCTATTCTACAGATCCTCCACCTGGGTTTGCAAGGGTCACTCTTCAACAACTTGTAGCGGCAGACAAAGCGATGTGGACAATGTTGGCCAGAGACATCGCGTCAGTCAAACCTGACATCAATGGGAAGAGGCCATTAGACGAAGCAATTGAGAAATTGATGCACGACCCTCGCATCACCATGTACATGTTAGCCTTGCCCACGCGCAGTCCTGCAGCAGTCGCAGCAGCGCCCAAATCTTCTGGGTCCACTCATGCAGCAGGCACAATTCAGCCGAAGAAGAAAGCCAGGCCTAGCAAGAGGAATCGCACCCAGCCAACTCCTCCTGAAGAGTTGAAGACTTGCTACCAGCAGACGGCCGATGGGAAGCCCATATGCTGGGCCTACAATTTACAGAACGGTTGCACCTTGGAAGCCACGGGACAGCCGCCCAAGTGCCGCAAAGGCGCACATATTTGTGCTTACTGCCGCAAGGCGGGTCACTCCTTTCAGAATTGCAAGGCTGCGCCAGGGAAGAAACCCCAACACTGACTTAGTCATGAGGCTACAATAGCTCCCAGCAACAACAGTGCAGACGGAGCAAGCGGAAGTTGGGTACAAACAGGGCATAGCACTCCAAAGGACAATATGCCTGACAGCGGTTTCACAGGCGCAAGCCATATAGCAACAGAGAGGCCAACGTTGTTTCAAAACATGTTGTTTCTCGAAATTTTTGCTGGAACTTCCAGCCTGACAATGGAGGTTAGAAAAACTAACCTCAGAGGAGTAGCTGTGGACAAAACCACAGAGCGAGCAAAGGGGCCCATTACAATTTTGGATTTGACATTGGAAGAAGACCTCAAATTTTTGGAATTTTATTGTGCAAGAACAACACAATCTTTGTCTAATACATTTGGCTCCACCTTGCGGAACTGGATCAGCAGCTCGTAAACGCAAGCTGCCACCAGACATCTCAGAAAGATTGCGTGAAGCTGGAATCACGCCACCTCAGCAACTGAGATCGGAAGATTTCCCAATGGGGCTGCCGCACATAGCTGGGCTTGACAGATACAAAGTGGAGCAAGCAAATTTGTTGTATGAGGCCACCAAGCGGATTGCAATGCTGGCGATTTCTTTGAACATAAGGGTATCAATTGAAAACCCAACCAATTCACTGTTTTGGAAAACCGACCCCATTGTCGAGCTCCTGCAGTTCCACCCTGGATACATCAATATTTTTCATAACTGCATGATGGGCGGAGATAGACAAAAGCAGACGACATGGTGGTGCAGCGATGATTTCTTCAATTCCTTTAATTTACCATGTTCGCTTGATCATGACCATAAGCCATGGACACCAACAATAACAGCAGATGGGGTACATTACCCAACAAAGGACGAAGCGGAGTACCCGAAATTGTTATGCGCCAGAGTGGCAGCATTACTGGTTGCAGACCTTAAAAGCAAAGGCATCGAGCAACCAGATACGTTTCAGCAACAAATTGGTGAGAGAAGAAACACAGCAGTCAATTCGGTTGCCATGGGATTGTTGCCACGTGGGCAAAAACTTCGTCCTCTAGTGAGCGAGTTTGGTCACTATGTTCAATTTGCGATCAAGCCTGACATGGATGCTAAAATCATTTTACAAGACCTGGTCAAAGGAGCCAGAATCACTGACCGCAAACTTTTGACAGGGGGTGACATGCGGGTTTCCGGGCGAGTGAATGCATCTTTACAATATTTAGGACTTCAAGAAGTTCCAGAAAGCATGAAGGTAGAGCTGATCACCATCGGCATCCCAAGAGAACCTTGGGATTTTGTACACCAAGCTGCCTTGGTAGGACACCCACGCTTCCTACCCTATGCTGGGAGCCCGCATTTGGACACTCTTTTGAAGGCAAATTTGGGACAGAACTGGAAAGACTTGGAACGACACAGACTCTCCTTTTTCAAGCGATGGCTGGCTCGAGCAAAAGAACTTGAGGTGGATGAACGCAACCTCAAAGAGCAACTGAATGAACACGTAAGGCATGTTCTGCAAGGGAAGAGGCTTCTGCTCTTCAAAGAAATTTTGGAGGACTTGGAGTTCCCGGACAAACAGTTGTTCGAGGACATAGTGGCAGGTTTTCGGCTCTCTGGATGGATGAGGGACTCACAACTGTTTTTGAGCTTGCCTAGGCCCCCAAAGCTGACCTTTGAGGCTTTGCTGCGGTCGTCGTTGGGGCTACAGGAAGCGGTTCTTCAAAAGGTTTCGGAACCAGACGACGAAGGTCTTCACCGTGCAGCTTGGACTGAAACTTTAGCAGAGTTGGACAAGCACTGGATTTGGGAAGACAACACTGGCGACTTGAGCGGCAAGGTCATAGCTCACCGCTTTGGACTTCAGCAGGGAGAGAAGGTTCGAGTGATAGATAATTTTAAACTTTGTGGCCTCAATGACTCTTGCGGATTACCAGAGAAATTCACGCTCCATGGAGTGGACTTCATTGCAGCCTCGTTGATCCGCGCCCTTGTCCTACGCGATCAAGGCCACCAAGTTTGTTTGAAAGGTAAAACCTTCGACCTCAAATCTGCCTACAAGCAGTATCCGCTGCACTCAACAGACCGAGCTCATCTCAGAATCGCCATCCGCGACCCGGACTCCAACGAACCAAAGTTGTTTGGCTTGAATTCGCTGCCTTTTGGAGCTACAGGCAGCGTCGCGGGATTCCTGAGAGTGAGCTCCGCATTGTTTTTCATCCTTAGTGCGGGGCTACAGGTTTGGTGCAGTGCTTTCTTCGATGATTTCCCCACCATGTCGGTGGCTGCGCTGTCAAAATCAACAGATCAGTGCGTGGGGCTGCTTTTTGACATGCTCGGCATCCAGTTTGCAAAGGAAGGAAAGAAAAGCCAAGCCTTCGGGCCAGAGATGAAAGCCTTGGGTTTAATATTTGACTTGTCGCAATTTGATGAAGGGGTGGTATACATCAAACACACCCCTGAACGGAGAGCAGAGCTTCTTGCAAAGATCAACAGCATACTGGAACAAGACTCCCTCACCCCGAAGGAGGCTGAGTCATTCAGAGGGCGTATTCAATGGTTTGAGTCTTACCTTTTTGGGCGTATAGCCAACCTCTCTATACACCGTATTGGCAAGAGAGCGCAACAGAAGGGGTCCAAAACCAAGAGCAAACTTGATGATGAGCTGCGCTCCTCCTTGATTTTCTTGCGTACAAGAGTCCAGACCGGCTCACCCCTTCTTTTGACAGCTGAAACGGAGGACTCAGTTTTGATATTTACAGATGGAGCTTTTGATGCAGAAAATTTGAAGGGTTCAGTTGGTGGAGTGCTTCTTGATCACAAGGGCAGACCCTTGCGCTTCTTCAGTGAAAACCTTCCAGCCTTGGTGATGAAGCGTTTTCTGGAGGTTTCTGATAACCCTATTTATCTCATTGAACTTTTGGCCGGCTACATAGCGGCGTTCCTTTGGGGAGGCTTAACGACTGGCAGATACGTTGTCATGTACATCGACAATGAAGCATCACGCTTGGCTTTAATTAAAGCCTACTCCTCAACACCGATGGGAAATGTCATTGTCCAGATGTTTGTATCCAGCGAAGACTCATCCCAATGGAAAGTTTGGTTTGGTCGTGTCTGCAGCTACTCTAACATAGCAGATGCCCCGAGTCGCATGGAAGTTCAAGACTTGGTGACTCGTGGTGCAATGCAAGACAAATGTGCCTGGGATGTGATCCTGCTCAAACTTGAAGAGACTGAGCACAATTTGGGATTGGGGTGAAGGCGGGTGCTCAGACTCAGCCGGATGAAAACCGAATCGCAATATGTGGATCAACCCCTTGGCTTAAAAAAGGAGTGTCTGCATTTGCATTTTTCAGACATGTCATTCCACTTTCCGGACTGCACGTTTTATTTTCGGTAGATATCTAGTGGCGCGTAACCCGTCGTTTTGCGAACGCCATACAGTATATGAATACTGATATAGTCTGTTCGATATATAATTTTAACGCGGAGCGGGAATTTGTGAGTGACCATTCATGCCAGCTCGCTGGTTCTGCGTTCCTTGGTTTGTGTTGTTGGTGGTTTTGCTAGAGGAATAAGTTAGCGCTCCTGAAAGGATGATAACCTTATTTCTCAAAGCAAAATCTTTTGCATATCTTGTGCTATGCAAAAGAAACCAACCACAACAAACAAAATCTTTCTTATTTCTTTTGAAACCTTAAACTCGTTTCCACAACTGCTGTTATTTTCAGAGTTGGTGGTTTGAAGTTTGAGGTTATGAGGTAAACTCATCTTGAAACTTGCGAAACGTGAAACCGTTCCAAGTTAAACTTCAACATGTTGCTCTGGAACATGTGATCTGTTTGATATTTGAAGTCCTTCGGTTCAAGGACTAGGGTAGACCCAAGAGGTTTACCCTCCCACCTACACCCTCTCTTGGGTTCAGAACTTTATTTCTTTACGTGCAATCACGTTCCAATTTTTCACGCGATTTTTCATTGAGCCTAGCCCTCAGCCTTGAAGGCGGGTGCTCAGACTCAGCCGGATGAAAACCGAATCGCAATATGTGGATCAACCCCTTGGCTTAAAAAAGGAGTGTCTGCATTTGCATTTTTCAGACATGTCATTCCACTTTCCGGACTGCACGTTTTATTTTCGGTAGATATCTAGTGGCGCGTAACCCGTCGTTTTGCGAACGCCATACAGTATATGAATACTGATATAGTCTGTTCGATATATAATTTTAACGCGGAGCGGGAATTTGTGAGTGACCATTCATGCCAGCTCGCTGGTTCTGCGTTCCTTGGTTTGTGTTGTTGGTGGTTTTGCTAGAGGAATAGAATTGATCTATTAATTAATTAGTCCACATATTTAAATACATTTGGTCTAGATCTCATTTAACTGAGGCAACTGACTTTTCATTTTTGATGGGGGTGTAGTTTTGATCATTTCATATTTAGTAAAATTCCACACCAACTATAATAATAATCACTAGTCATCTCCAATCACAAATATTAACCAGAGACACTGGTGTAAACATTTAATTGTCTGTGTCATTATGATAATTTTGCATCATGAACATGTCAACCACATCATCAAGTACTTGGAACTTGCCATGGGGCATATTTTTTTGTATTCCCTTATTCCCGCTTAACCGCCAGTAAGTGATGGGTAAGATTAGATTCCAATTACGGAAGAAATGCACGTTTTCGTGAGAAGTCCAAATCAGCAATAACTACCAGGCAGTTGCTGGTATAACATTATAACATGGTGCTAACAATGAAAGGCCGTCCGCTATTGTGAATTATGGGTACCCATGATGATGCCACTTCTAAGTAATGAGTGGTCGGTTCTATGGGAGAATCAGCGGGCAGGGTGGCTCAGACTGGACTGGAGGTGCGTCTGACCTGCTCAAGCTTTACTGTGACCATAGCCCGAAAGCATAAGCCAAGGGAGATACACACTGCTTGGGGATGTTCCTATGTTCGATGATGGGTCAGAGTACGAGAAGGAGATCCGTTCTGTAGTTTTTTTTTGGGGTTTTCCCTTCCCTGTCTCTCAGCGACAGCGTGGACCTAAAACCAGCGGAGAAGATGGATCCACGCGGTCAGATGTTTTGACATCACCAACATGCGGCTACGATTTGCGTACTGTAGTGTATCTCACACTTTTCGGTAACCGTCCTTGCGGGGCTAGTTACTCAGCGAGCCTATATGATATTGAGTGCTCTTTGATTTATAGGCAAAGGGATGAACACTAGGCCCATGATGCAGGACGGTGTGCTACCTGGTCCCCGCCTAGATGTCTCAATACTCGATGATGGGTCAGAGCACGAGAAGGAGATCCGTTCTATAGTTTTTTTTTTCCCCCTTCCCCACCCATTCCCCTGAGTGAAGACCAGGATCCTTCTGTAGACCCTTTAGCGGGATAGAGACAAGCTGCGGGGAAAAGCGGAGCCAAGCGGTGTAATGCTTTATTGTCGTCTAGATGTGATTGGGATTCACGCACCGCAGGGTGGCCAGCACGATTTGACAAACGTTCTAACACGACATGGGAGGCCCATTCCATGGGCTGGGTTCATCATGGGAGGCCCATTCCATGGGCTGGGATTGGCACAGGACAGATTGGCGACGACCGGACGACTGCCAATTGGTCACTGAGACGGCAACAAGGACAGCAACTAATGCCTCTACTAACTCATGGCTACTTAGACTATGCCTTCACCTAGTCTACGCGGGCAGAAGTAGCTACCCAGAGTACCCCTGGGAGCAATTTCCGTCCTGCACGAAATGGCTGGCGCGGAGGACAGCATACAGGTAGTCGGGAAAATGCTCAGAAACGCCACATGGTCACGTTGGTCGTTCACGTCGAGCGCGCAGCTTGGCGAGAGCTTCCAGCGGGGTGGTGCAAATGTGCGCGGATCCCTTAGCAGCATGCTGCTTATGGGGGCGTTGCTGAGACACGCGGAAGTACACGGCTACTGGCGGTATGTTTGAGGGTCTCTATGTATTCCTTGCATGGGGCCGCAAGGGGGGTGACTTTGAACCATGGTTGATCGAAAAAGAGCTGATGTTTGGACAGAACTTCCTTTTCAATTTGCCTAACCATGTGCTCAGGAGGCGGGGGAGCAACTAAAAAACCATCATGGAGCCACACCAAGGATTGCGTAGGGTGCCGGGCGATGAGTGCGTGTATGGTGTCTTCAACAATTAGCGCTTCAAAGTATTCTAACAATCGAAAGGCACTGTCATGTGGTTAACACTGAACGCTGGTCGGAAGCGAGTTAGCAGCTGGGTAGTCAGGGCAGCACTTTGGGACCAGAGTTGGTGAAGGGTTGCGCTCAGACTAGCTCCAGGGGAACCATCCACAATGGATCGTAGATGTCGGTATGTGGCATCGATGGAGCTGTTGATAACTGAAGCCCGGCACCACCCAGCCCTTGGACACAGTCAAGACGCAGGAGAAAGAGAAGAAGGATGCAAGCACGGTTTTGGATGAGAATCTGAAGCCCGACACCACCCAGCCCTTGGACACAGTCAAGAGGCAGGAGAAACAGAAGAAGGATGCAAGCACGGTTTTGGAAGAGAATCTGAAGCAGGTTCCCGTCCAGCCCTTGGACACAGTCAAGACGCAGGAGAAGCAGAAGAAGGCTGCACGCACGGTTTTGGATGAGAATCTCAAGCCCGGCACCACCCAGCCCTTGGACACAGTCACCATGGAAGAGAAGCACGCGGAGAAGGCGGAGGATAAGCCCAGTGCGAGCATGGTTTCTGAGGAGTAGCCGATTCCTGACACCACCGACAAGAAGCCGGCAAGGGGAAAGGTCTGTAGACCCAAAGCCTCAGCCAAGTCTTCAAGCTCGAAAGCCAAGAAAAGTTCAGCCAGCCGCGTGAAGAACACCAGAAAGAAGAAGCAAACCAAGGAAGAGAGAAAGCAAGTCCACCGTGCAGCATGCGACCGCTGGCACGCAAAGTGGTTGCGCAAAGGGGTTCTGCGCAGCGAGGTTGAAGGCAGCAAGGTCGTTGAGGTTGAGAGCAAGCGTGGTCGCAAGAAGAACCAGGACAAGGACAAAGGTGGGAAAGACAAAAAGTCTGAGAACAAGAATGCCCATAAGCTTACCGCTTCCAAGACCATTGAGAACGACAAGATCCAGAAGATCCAGAGCAAAAAGGAGACTGCGGACAAGAAGGGCAACAGCCTTATGGATTCATATCCGAATGAAATCCGTGACGCCTTGACGCAGGATGGAATGGCAAGCCTCACCTTGAGCAGCAACGACTTGCGCACCACCAAGGCAGCATGGGTGAAAAATACATCGCCATCCTGACGGAAAAGGAGAATGCAGAGGTTGCAGCAGGCCAGGCAAATCAGCTGTTGACCAACGCCGAGAAATACAAGAAGGCAGTGGAAGCTTGGATGAGCTCGTACTTGCGAAGTGTTTTGAACAGTGGCAAAGACAAAGGATTTGCCAGCATTCCAGCCTCAATGCTGGCTGTTTGAGTGTGGATGTGTTTGGGTCGATTTGCAACTTAGATCATTGAATCTCATGATCGCTGCTGTGGGGAACCGGCGCGGTAAAAGGTGAAAATGACGGTTTGAGAGCTTACGCAGTGCGTATGCTCCCTCTTGCAGGGAAACCATCCATGTATGTTTCTACAAAATCCGCATCCGCCTTCAATTTTTCTAGAACACCACGCGAGATGAGTTTTTTGAAACCTACAAAATGTCATGCTGTGCAACGTGCTGCCTGAACATTGCGTTATCTCAAGGATGGGCCCAAGATGATGAATGGGGTTCAAGTTCAAATGGAGGGGTGTATATAATGTCTGGGATAAAGGGTTTCATCTTGGGTCCCTTATTGAGGTAATGTAATAATGTATTGGTGGTATACCGGCATCCCTGCCCTGACCACCGGCTCCTGGAGGTTGGACCATCTGTGGTTGCTCCAGCCGCGGCAGCGGCCAACCGGGCGGCGGCCCGGGAAGGGAGTTAACACCCTTAAGAAGTACATGGGGGTATTTAGAACTGCGTACATGGGGTCTGCTAGATCCAATTACCTTGAAATTGGACTCACTTACATTGAATATGACATAATATATATATATACATACACTGTATATTGTATATATATATATTTATATTGTATATATATATATATATTGTATATATATATATTTATATTGTATATATATATATATATTGTATATATATATATATATATATTGTATATTTTATATATATATATATTTATATTGTATATATATATATATACATATGGTTGTTTATATACACAGCTTTCATCCCAAAATAAACTGTAAATAATCATGTGCATGCATATGCGTCCACATAAGTATAGTTATTTGTATGTACATGTTGTGTATCCCTAAATATCCCCTAATCCAACCCTAAACAAACCCTAAACAGACCCTAAACCAGCCCTAAAGAAACCTTAAAACCAACCCTAAATAGACCTTAAACAAATCTAGAATAAACCATAAACCAACCCTAAATAAACCCTAAAACCAAACCCTGCAGATATATTAATTACACTTGTAAATGCATTGATCTACATATGCATATAGTCATGATTAGTCATGCATGTATACCTCTATACATCTACAGTTTGTAGTTTGCACATCATGTATCTCCAAAAATCAATGAACACTTCGGAAAAAACAATGAAAACAATGTAAAAATCAATGAACACTTTGGAACAATGAATGAAAACCAGTAAAAAATGAATGAACACCATACAAAAATTGAAGAAAAACATAGAAAATTCCATTGACAAATGGAAGAAAACCACGGAACAATCGAAGAAGACCATAGAGCAATTGAAGAAAACCATGGAAAAATTGAAGAATACTATGGAAAAATTGACGAATACTATGGAAAAATTGACGAAAACCATGGAAAAATCCATGAACATCTTGGACAATTCCATGAAAATCATGAAAAAATCAATGAAAACCATGGAAAACTCGATAAACACCATGGAAAATTCATGAAACCACTGGAAAAATTGACGAACAGTGCGAATGAGAGATTTTAGCTACAAAATGCAGCAAATGAATGCAAATGAGAGATTTTAGCTGCAAAAACCAAGGAAGGGAACCTGGATGACCAAAAAAAAAAATTGCCAAAAAAATAAAATAAAATTTGCCAACTTAATTTCGCGCCCCTTTTGGGACTCAAGTGGTCCAGTAAGTGTCTGGTAAGAAGTTCGATCTATAAGAAAGATCCGGGCCTGACTCACACACAACCTTGGAGTTCAATCTCAGGAGTAAAAAGAATTGCGCCCGTCTGCATGCATCTTGTTCACTGAAAGTTGAATTGAAAGTTTCTAAGATTCGAGCGTAAGTAAGATCGCACCGATTCCCCCCTTTCCTTGTTCCTTTCCCGATTGAGTTAAAATATTTTTTGTTTTTTGTGTGTGTTTTCAAACATGTAAACCTTATTTCCACTAGGAAAAAACTTGTGTATGGACAGCAAAAACGAATATTGCTTTAGACCATGCAGAAAACCAAACAGGGAATAACAGGGAATAATGTTTTTTGTGCACCCACAACAAACCTTTTGGCTTTCGGAAACGGGTAGGACACGTAAAAGGGGAGTGTTCGTTATTTGTTTTTAAGGCACCGGTGCGCGCCCATAAATTTTCAGGAGATGGGCAAGAAAAACGTCAGTTTCCGGAATTTAAAATTCGATGAGTTACATCTGTGTGGTTCATGTTTTTGCATTTTGTTCTTCTTGCGGTAATAATATTGGCGCGTTTTATTTTCAATGGCGTCGGATGCACTTTGTCAAGTTCAAAAAATGGGATTCGGAACAGGGATGGTTTGCACCATCGACCCGGAATTTGCTCTTGCAGTCAGCTGGTCCCTCAAACCTTACAGCCTCAGAATTAAGACCAAATTGTTGTTATTGGATATTTTTTGCCATTTGTGACATTTTGTGGTGTAGGTGGTTGAAAAGTTCAGGCGTTTCTTTTGGTTGTCAAAATTTGGTTCTGACATATCTTGACACCATGACCAAACAACAAAAGGTCAAATTCAAAGCGCCGATAGGTGATGGATAGGTTAAAACGCCGTTGAAAACAATGGATTGCTACCAGCAGGTATGATGAGGGCTACAAACTAACTGCAAAATTCTAAGTATGACTGTATGACCTCAATTTTTTTGACATGCGGCTGAGTGGTTATGGGTTGTGGGAACATCTTGCCATCGCGGCACCGTATGGCGGTGAAACCAGTGGCTGAAGGTGGGTGCGAAGATGTCCATAGTGCCACTCAACAGACGATGCTTTGGAGGGTTTCGGAAGATACAAAACAAAAAAAAATGTAGGAAAAAACAAAGGTCTGTCGTTCTATGGATTGTTCTGGATGTCCTTAGAATAACCAGAATAAAAACACATCCACAGTGTCGGTGCCCTGAAATGGAATGACGAATTTGGGGCAAAGTGGGAGGCACATGTGAAGTTCTTCGCCATGTGTTTGCTATTTTCCAGGTGATGGCAATGTCATCAAAACTCTGCCTATTGTGGTGTCATCAACGGCGGGTGTGCAAGGCCCCATATCAGTTGGGTTGAGCATGGTTGATCATTTTGACTTTGCACAAGGGTTGCGGGTCAAACTTGGGCTGAATATGTGAGTTTGTGGGTCCCCAAATTATTTTTACCCAATGAACAATGCAAACCGTTTTGATTCATGGCAGGATGTTATGAACTGTACTGAAATGTACTGTTTTCGCGGGATGTGTCAGATGCAGTTTAAACCACCAAATCTTTGTGTTCACAAATTTTCACAGGATGAAACCGGGGCGGTTGAAACCAAATAAAATTGATGAATTCCTGCTTGGTTTCCAGGACTACGCAATGTCTCCGCAGAAATCGCGGATGCTTCCATCTTGAAAGTGGAGGAGTGTTTTTGGGCGTGTTTTTGGTGCAGATTGAAATTGATTTCAAAATGTTGACGGGATATGCTGGGATGTTGCTAGCAAACAGTCAATCCCTTTCAACCAACAAATGACCGTGGTTCCGTGGTTGGAAAATCACCAGGAACGTGCGATTCTTCTTCCCCAGTTGCAAGAGCTTATGGGCACCATCGAACTTCGGCTGGCCGAGAAGTCTTTGATGTCTACGGGCGCAAGGCATTGAAGAAGGGTGCGATAGCTGCATTGGGGACAGTATGCGCATCTAGATTAGAAAAATAAAATAAAACCACATATTTTTGGAATCAAAAAAAGGAAGGAAACCAGGAAGGAAGCAAAGAAACACCATTTTACATGTTCACAAGGGGAATGTTCTTCATTACAAGCACATTGAGTACCATATTCAAACTAAAACATTACCAGTGGAACACGAATTGTTACTCTGCTTTGGGGGGAGGCGCTGCGCCCTTGTTCAGCCCACCGTCAAGTTTTTTACTTAAGTCATAACTTAAGTCCAAATTTGCACAGTTGCAAATACACTACCGTGCAAATAGATAATATAATATATATGGAGTGACCCCCCCACTAACAGTGGAATAATGGATTTTAATTGTAACTTCCCAGCCAAAATTGCACAACAACCCAGGGACCAAAACCACAAACAATTTGAGAGGCCCAATCTTCTCAATCCAAATTTTTCTGATGTTGAACCGAAGTATGAAATCACTCTGGGGGCAGCCTACTTGGAACCAGATCAAATCTACACTGGACCGCCTGGTAAACCCTCCTGATGTGTTTGGATCCATTGGGTTGACTGCTGGTATCCCTGATCAGCCTGACTGGTCTCATTGGGAAACTCCTTGACCTATGGCCTCTTCAATTTCCAATTTGGGTGGGTTCTCTCATTGCACTATTGCACTTAATTTGGGTCAGCCAGGTGCTTCAGGGGCTCGGATTTGTTAAAAAAACAACACTCTTTGGTTTGATAGTCCATTCGGAGACTTGGCGTGTTGATGGTGAATCTTAATCTTGCAACTTGCAGCAAGTGTTTTGGAAGAAAACAGTTTGCACATCTTGGGAGAAACATCCCTGCAGAGATCTGCAGTAGCGACAGTCTCAGTCTCGAAGGCAAATTTTAAGTTCACACTGACACAGATCTGATATTTTTGCCGATTGCTGTGAGGGACATCCCTGCAGAGATCTGCAGCAGTTACAGTCTCCAACGCCAAGCGTATGCTGTGAAGCTTGCCGAGATTTTGTTGGATAAAATCCCTTTTGGGCAAAGGGAAAGGCAGCAGTGCAGGGACGAGTTTGCTAAGGGACAAATTTTGCTAAGGGACAAATTTTGCTCAGTGACAAGTTTTGCTAAGGGACAAATTTTGCTAAGGGGCAAGTTTTGCTAAGGGACAAATTTTGCTAAAGGGAAAATTTTTCTAAGGGCCAAAATTTTCAGTGACAAGTTTTGTTAAGGGACAAATTTTGCTAAGGGACAAGTTTTGCTAAGGGACAAATTTTGCTAAGGGACAAGTTTTGCTAAGGGACAAATTTTGCTCAGGGACAAGTTTTGCTAAGGGACAAATTTTGCTAAGAGACAAATTTTGCTAAGGGACACATCCGTTCCATTCCGTTCATCTGCCGGCAACGCATAGTAGCTCCACTTTCTCCCACAGCGTGGACAACAGAGATCCGCCATTTGGGCCGTGCGATCCAGAAGGGACACATTTTGCTCAGTGACAAATTTTGCTAAGGGACAAATTTTGCTAAGGGACAAGTTTTGCTAAGGGAGAAATTTTGCTAAGGGGAAAATTTTGCTAAGGGACAAATTTTTCAGTGACAAGTTTTGCTAAGGGACAAATTTTGCTAAGGGACAAATTTTGCTAAGGGAAAACCCTTGCTTGATGTTGTGTTTTTTTTGTGCTCTCGGCCGTGCTTTTGGAAAAGGTAGAAAATATCAAAAACACAACTTCCCATGCAAAAAGAGCACAAAAAGTGCACAACTTCCCTGATGATTTGATCACAAAAATTAGCACAACAAACAGCACAACTAACCACAAGAAAAAGCACAACACAACCCACAACGTTTAGGCTTAAAGAGCACAACTTCCCTGCTCATTTTTGCACAACAACAAGCCAAGGAAAAAATAAAAACATCTAATTGATTTTAAATTTGGCACCGACCACAATTTCATCAAAAAAAGAGGCACAAAAAGTGCACAACTTCCCTGATGATTTGATCACAAAAATTAGCACAACAAACTTCACAACTTCATCAACAAAAAAGCACAAAAAGTGCACAACTTCCCTGATGATTTGATCACAAAAATTAGCACAACAAACAGCACAACTAACCACAAGAAAAAACACAAAAAAAACACAACGTTTAGGCTTAAAAAGCACAACTTCCCAGCCCAAAAGTTTACAACCGCAGCCCCCCCCAAATCCCCAGGTTGTCCTGAACGTGCATAAACCGGCATCGTTCTGCATATTGGCATCCCTTCTCAGTCAGCCAGTTGACACACGCCACCTTGTGGACCACATTAGCAGCGTTAATCGGCAGCTCAGGCTTCTCCCCCCTCCTTCCAGTGGAAGAACCTGCTGCGTCTTCTGGTTTTCCCTTCGAAGTTCCCTTTGGTGGATCTCCAGATGAATCCGGTCCACTCATAGACTTCACCCCCACTGCATTGTTGGGCTTAGTCGTTGGACCCGGTGTGGTGTTCCCCGGTTGACGGAGAGCCATTTCACCAGCTTCCGCTTGAAGAAGTTCAGAAAACGTTCGGATCTCTTGCATTCCCGGCCGGAGATCTATGCCCAAATGCTGTCTCACCGAAGACAACCGGTAGGCAGCTTGAGCTCCCCCCAACCTGGCTAATGCATCACTCATTTTTGCGACCGCTCCGGCCAAAACCAGAGGATCGGGCAAAACCAATTGAAGTTCTTCGGCACGAACCACCCACCTTCTCCACTTCCGGATGGAGTTGACCATCTCTGCAGCATTATTAGATGGACATTTCCAGTCCACCAACATTTGCAGCAGGGAAGTTCTTTCCACTTGTCCTCCAGGTTGGAAGATGGTGTGCAGCTTGAACATGACCTGACCTGCCGACAATTGTCGGTTCGCCACGATGTCTTCGTAGATGTCCTTCGGGACGGCTTGAAGCAGCATGCCCACCACTCGGTTCTCCGTGCGGGGCCACCCACGGGCCATGTCAGGTATCACAGGCGCCATCCGGAGCCTCATAAGTGGATCCGCTTGCAACCAGTGATGGTATGCCTGTTCCACAGCAGTCATAACTACCCCCCACCACTGCGCCGAGGTGTAGCTCACATCCCCGATCATCTGCTGGACAACTGCCAGCCAGTCTCCAAAGTCCAAAGATGTTGCATTTCTGTCCAGCTTTGGCAATTCGACCGATCTTAAAGTTTCGCCTGGTACTTCTCCCCCTGCCTGAGGTCCTGCTTGGACTGCAACTTGTTGTTGTTGTGGCGGTACAGCTTGTCCCGGGTTTCCTTGATGACCACCTGGCTGACCTGGATTTCCTTGATGAGCACCCGGTGGACCAGGTGCTTGTCCCGAATTTCCATACGGCCCTGGTGGTGGACCCCTTGGCCAACCATAACCCCCCATAGGTCCGGTGTTTCCTCCTCGAAATGCAATACCTCCTTGAGGTCGTTGATCTTGTCCTGCAGGTGCTCCTACAACTTGGGCTTGAGGATTATACCATTGATTGGGTTGGTCACCCATGAAAGAGGGTCTTATGTTTTCCATGGCTCCCATGCAAGGAGCTCCCATCGGTGGTCTTGGCGCCGCTCCCTGCGGCATTCCATTCATCCACCCTTGATTCATGTACACATTCATCGGCCGAAAACCTTGTTCGACCTTGGGCGCAGGAGGTACATTCCACAACGGACCTCCCGCCTTCATTTGAAGATCTTGATCATGGTGATGTTGAACTCCCGGAACTGGTTGATCTAGCAAATGTTGTCCTTGGGGTGGAACACCTTGAGATGGCCCCACAGGAAAACACTGCCCGATGTTCTGCTCCGGAGATGCGGTTTTATAAGACCCCCCACTTGACTGAGAGCCCTTTCTTGGGCCCTTTCCAGGGTTTGTTTCTGTTCCAGCGTGGCTAACCAATTTTCTCGATCTTGTTGGATCTCGGTCTTGCCCCGCTGAAAGACTTCCATCACATGCTGTTTCAACTCTTCATATTTTTTCTTCTCCCTCGCATCAGCCCGATCAATCAGGTCTTGCGATACTGTGGGATAAGTCAATTCCTTCACTGGAGTTTGTGGGCTGCTTATTAGAGCTTCCACTCGCTTTGCAGCACTCCATGGATTTGTTTCTTCTGCAGCCATGACCCCGGTTACCATCCCAGGATCCACAACCGCCGTTCCCCACTGAGGCACCATTCCCGTAGGTGGCACTCCAGCACACATGGATTGCTGGGACATCCCAGCTACCTGCGAACCCTGTGCCCCACCAGTTGCGGCGTACACCACAGGTGGTCCCATTGGCTGGTAGCTCACAGGTGGACCTGTCAGCGCCGCTGGCACCACTGGTTTGATACGTGCATCTTCAGGAGATTCAACAGGTGAACGTCTTGGTCTCTCCAAAAGAGCAACTGTTTCCACAACAGTAGCCGCACCTCCACCCACTTCAGTTGAGCTTTGGTGTTTTCCACCCTGTCCTTCTTCTCGATTACCCACAACAGGTGGTCCACGAAATCCCTCAGACATCCGGGCAACTACTGGTGTTTGTGTCCTTGGCACTACCGAAAGAGTTAGACTATTCACACCTGGGGTCAAACCAGACAACAGACCACCATTCCCCTTTCCTCGTACCACTTCAAGTCCAGGAGTTTCTTCAGGTGGTAAGGACACTGGTCTTACGACTTCTTCCGCAACAGCTGGATTCTGGGCAATTTGTTCGCCCGCTCCAGCTCGGACCGCCGCAACCTGCACTAGCGCTCCACTTCCCCCAGCACCGGTTAGTGCCATCCCACTTTCTCCAACTCCCTTTCCCATCAGTGATCTTCGGGTCGAGTCTGATGATCTTGTCCCTGTTTTTTCCCCATGTTCTTGTCCAGGTGTGTCCATCTCCTCCAGAAGTCGATCCAGCATTTGGTCTGCCGTTTCCTCGCGTTCTTCTTTTCCATGGGTCCCATGTTGTACTTCTTCAGCATGAGCAGCCGCTTGAACTTGGCGTTCTTGTCGACGAC